AAACACGTGTCTGTGCAACTTGGCTGCATGAACCGCGCAGGTCTGCTTGAGAGTGCTTTGTTTAAGAGAAGTAAGATGGCAAAATACAATTCTTGTGGCTATGCGAGGGCACCTGACTTGCCACTTACAAGGTACAGAAATAGATTGGGTGACCCGAGTGGGTTCTAACATATTATATAAAGGGGGTTCCTTCCAGCTGCTTGACATTGCTTGACGGTCCTTTTGTGCAAGCGATCGGACGCCGTTTACTAAACACGTGTGGGATCCCTGACAGAAGGGCAATCATCAATTACCGTTTGCTCTAGGAAGATTACGCCATCCGCGCCCTCTTCGTCAAGTGGCACTAAATCATGTTACATTCTAGTAGACATGACTCGACCAGTTTGTCTCTATATAACACCCACGCAACAACATACACAACATACAGTGCACATGAAGCAAGTGACCTACATGGGACAATTGGGTTGTCCCCGTAGCTTTTGTGGATTGTCCGCCCATGTCCTCCCCAAACCAACAGCAAACAAACAACAAATTATCAGTTGCTCAAATGGGAATCGACTCTTTGGTGGACATCGCTGGTGGACATTGCGGTGTCATCCTCTGAAAACTCATGACATGGCCAAATTTTACTTTTCGCACGTAGGACACTGGCCCACTCACAGCTCGCTCCACGATGTTGCCGCCGTCCGTGGGGTCCACCGCGCTCCATCGATGTCTGCCTTGCCTCAGGGCCAGGTCAGTCAGCACAACCGAAATGGGCGTATGTCAAATTGGTGGGACCCCACAATTGTGGCTTTCCTTTGTGTCTCCCTTTCAACCCACCCAACAAAGGCACCTGAAGCAACACACACACACACACACACGCACACACACAACCGACATTGACGCGCAACGAACTTTGTCACAGCATTGCAGAACGAATTGGAGACCTGGAGGGAAAGGAGTCAACTCCGAATCTCTATAGCCCAGGCCCCCCCCCAAGCCCCAACCCCTGCCCCCTATCGTGATAAGCATATTTCACCCTGTTTGACAAATGGGGGTGATTGTTTTGGGGGGTTGCTCTGTGTGCTTGTTTTAATTGGGAAAACCCCCATTTCAGCCTTCCCCTACCTTTAGTCTTGATTGTTTTCACCTCCCCTCCTAAAAACGTGTCAATGGCCCAACTCAGATTCTGCTTCATGTTGGGTGAACCTTAAGTATAGAATCATCTTGGAGACCCGCGTGGGAGCTTCTGAAAATGGACATTGTTGGCTGGTCAAAGGGAAGCCAATTAGCAAACCTAGCATTTTAGGGTAGCCCTTTTTTGGGGAACACACACAATTTCTATAAAGAGCGGTTTCGAAGGAGAGCCCAAGGCATGACCCCACACGCCCCGGGTCCCCTTGGGGCCCAGCCCCTTGGCGCCTTGGGCCCCCGACTTCACCGATACCGCGACCACGTCCTGCCGTCTCCGCAGCTCCACGCGCACCACGTCCCGTGAGCCGCGGGACGTGGTCTGCAGGAAGCGCGAGGCGTGGCCCGTCAGCGCCACCGTGGCGCCGAAGAAGCTGGCGAATTGTCTGCTCCACCCGGTCAGTGGGTCAGAATAGTTTGGTTTTTGGAGAAAGAACCAATTTTCTGACCCCGCGCCAACCTTCGGCCTTCAATCAGCGCAGAATTTGGCCATAGTGAAAATTACATTCACCAGGTCAATTTGGAACACCGTGGCACATGTCAGATTTTGAGATTACCTTCTTGGTGTTGAAAAGGGAATCCAAATGGTTTTGGGGCAAGGTGGGTTTGTCTCTCTGGATGCTGACTAGTACACAATTCTCAATTTTCCCTGGAAACCAAATGCGGATGGACATGTGCTTATTTTATCCAGGCCCACTACTGCGAATCTTGCCCTGAGTGCACTTACAAGGGAAACAAAAAGAACCAGCCACTAGGAATCTAATTTTTTTGAGAAGGGGCCAGTTTCCATTGACTTTTGGTTACATAATTATAACCTGGCACCCCGTATGGCTGTTTTTTTTCGGTCAAACTCCCGTATTTGGCCATATTTGCCCGTATGGCCATTGTTTTTCGGTCATTTGCGTAAATCACCCGTATGAAACCCATATTTTTTCGACATGTTGTTGAAAAAAAGCCGTAAACAACTGTATGGCATTTTTTTCGGTCAAAGGCGTATGACCCAAAAAACAAAACGGCCATATGGGGTCCCAGGAAAGGTTTATATACTTAGGCTTGCCCTGACCTACCAATACCCATGACCCGCCTGGCGCCAAGGTCCACTGAGGCCAGTCCCTGCCGCAAGGCGAGCTCCAGTCGAACCGCAACCTCCCAAGTCGATTCAGAACGTGACACTCGAAGGAACCCCAAATGTGGCGGTTTCCATGTTTTCCTTTTAAACAACCCCAAAAACTAGCACCAACAAAAACACACCTGCGCATTGTGAACACTTGATGGGTCATAGTTCCCAAAAAGATTGGCTGTAACCTCAAGTGAGCGGGTCCTGTTGACCATCTCTGATTTCCAAAGGGTACCCAATCAAACATCATACCGATATCGAGCGATAAACCACAGATCTGGAAGGAACTGCATTGACTCCACTGGGATCTTTGTTGGTGAGGGTTGACTACTTTTGGAGGCTGCGTGAACAAAGGATTTGCCGACGCGACTAAGGCAGTGCTCTTCTTCTTACACCCCTTCATTTGCAGATCAAAAGCAGATCAAGTCGGGAACATGGCTGTTTCCACGTGGTTTCCCTTTTGACCCCAAGTTGAGGGCCGAGGGTTTGCGACAAACACAAAACACATTTGAATATGTGTCAAAACAGGGGACCCCACAAGTGATCTTCCTTTTTGTTAACCCAAACACGGTACCCTCAAAACAAACGTGAGATGTCCATTTCGAGAAGGTCCAAACAAGGCCCCACTTCTCGCACGCCTCCTTGGGGTAGGCAGCGATCTGCCCGTTCCGGGGATCCACAGACACCCACACCGCCCACTCGTTCTTCGCTTCCAGCTGAGGTCCTTGGCATTGCAACTAGCCGTTTGTTGGTCAATCATTTGAATCTCACAGGGAAACTACTCATCCACAACAAAAGGCCCCGGACCCAGCCTACCCCCGCCGCTCCTTGGAAGAGTTTGTTGTCTAAGCGGTTTGACACAGGTTCGCCTGGACAACACGACTTGGTGAGAGAAGGGGCGCGGGACTTTGACAAGTACAAATGTCACCAAAAATGCAACCACATAAACCAAATGGCAGTCCCCTTCATATTCATATCTCAATGCAAGGAAAGGACCTACAGGACCTAAAGGGCCCATGGATGCATCAAACCCCAGAAAGAAAAAACAAGAAAAGAAACATGGGATAAACCACCTACCAACTGCTAACGTCCACCGTAGAAGTCATCCATCAACAATCCAAGAGGCGGAAGAACTGCCAGATCCGGCCCAGGCAGTTAAAGAGCTTGCTGGCATCGCCTCTGTCACCTCCGCTTCGCCGAGCGGCTTCCATTTGCTGGGTGCGTCTTTTTGAGGGTACCCGTTGTTCGTAGTTTTTGTTTTTACAGGCCGACCCAGGTTCCCCGGTTTCAAGAAAAACCTTGCTAAACCCGGTTTCATTCCCATCGAGTAACGTGCGAAGCACGATTTCTGGGTTGAGGCAATTGAAGCTAGCGGAGCCCAAAACAACAAGCTGAACCAATTGAACCCTTTCTCGGTTGCTTCACCTCTTGTGGGACGAAGCACTCCGATGCCCAACTTGTCAAAGCTGCACACTTTTTTGTTCCCTTTTCGACTCTCCGCTCAAACCCCCTCCTACCAGCGGTTGTCGGGCGCTGCTCGCTCGCCGGCACGTTTGGCCCATGGCTCGCGCTTGGCAAAGACCACACTGGAAGTCTCCGGATTTGAGGCTGTTTATTTGGAAAAACAATTTAGGGTTTCCTCGCCTGGCTTTTCTTTTGTTTCCTGCCAAAAGAAACACATCTGCGTAGCGCCCGGCAGGGGGAGGTAGCGCATGCAAACGCGGAGTGGTCCGGCTGAAAGTTGAAACTTCTTGGCCTGCTGGGAGGAAGCAACCTGGTCCCAGAAGTTCGTAGCTCACTCTGCTGGCAAAAGGGGGGGGCAACGCCTTCTGCGATGTCAATATGGCTGTAATAGCGATCTGGGCCCCCAAAATGGCGGTTCTCCGTCTTTATGTTTCCCTTTGAACCAACCTGATCAGGGTACCCTGCAAAGCGCACGAACCCATGCAGCAAGTTTGAGGGATAGGCTGGAGATGGTCTCTTGTCATCTCAGTCCTGGGGACCTGCCGGAACATACGAGCAAATGCGGCCCCGCTACATGGTCCATTGTGCCATGGACAACTCTCCCGATCTTTGGGCCCGATCTTTGGGGGGAAGCCTTCGAACTGTTGCAAAAAACCTTGTAGCGGGTTCATGACCAATACTAATCCCAAGAGGTGTTTAGACCCCGCCAATCCTACCCCAGACCTGCATCCCCACAAGCCTCCCCCGCGCGAGATTAGAAACTTGATGTCACCTTGTGCAGCACTCTTGAGTGGACATCCTCTTGGCAAACCTCGCGGACGCGTGAATGCAAGAGCAGCGTCGGGGGCTCCATCGAATGAAACCACAACCTTGGTGCATGTTCAACCCCGAACCAAAGATTTCAATTTTTTCTACCATCATCATTCTAGTCGAAGGCGAAGATGGCAGATGTTACCAAACCTTGAACCTGCAAGGCCACCTCATATCCATCAGTCCAGTTTCCTGCTTAAAACTAAACTGATTCTCTGTCAACAAAACACGCCTTTAGGAGAGTCCTTCTCCCAGCCTCAAGCCGGTCAACATGAACAAATGCCGTAAGTATGGTTACATCTTGGGTGAAAAAGGGTCTCAAAATAGAATGGGTGGTTTCCTCCCAATGTCACTAGAACACAGCCCCAAAACGCGTGCCCGCAACATCACACGGGCCTCGCTTTCAAAGCATTCACCCAACCCACTCCCCCCCGGCCTGCCCCCAAGAAAGGGGTTGAAGTGCCGGGTGCTCGCATGCACACGTTGGCGCACCTGATGCCACAAAGGAAAACAGAGTATAGCTAACATGGCACCTGACAGGGGGTCCCTTTTTGCAAGAGGAAGTTGATCTTCCAGGTACCTGCCCAAATATTCTGGGTGCTATGCCAGCGCGAAGTGCATTTGATCAGCAAACATAGACAAACCCATTTGGAAGACAGCTTCTTTTGGCAAGGACGTAATCCGGGCTCCCGGTTTGACCTGCTTTGGGGACCTTTTGTCTCATGGCCCCACAGTGAGAAAGGTGCTGGCCTAGCAAAAGCAGACTTGCAGGTTGGAGCCGTTAGACCGTTAGGCGGCACCTCATATCACCAAGGTCGCAAAAAGCACCCTGAATCCCCCTCCCCCCCGCCTTGGATGATTGTCAGCCAAGGTGATGTGCCCTAGTTCCCTTCCGGTTATGGTCAAAGTAACGTGGTCAGTGGTCAACCAGCTTGGGACACGATGTCACTTGCACAAGATCCATCTTCGGCAAGCACATGAGCTGTGTGACGAACCTAGGGACTCTCCAATGTTTGGTTGCCGAGCCCACTGGCTGAAGGGATACATCGCACATGTCCGACTTTTATAACAGAGTTGCAACAGGTGGATGTGGTGCCAGAACTCCTAACATATACTGGCATGGCGCACGTGGGCATCCTTAGGTGGGAAGTTATGTCTGCCAACCACTTGTGAGGTAGTTCCATGACAAACTCATAGCCAGCTGGCGCAAGCAAACACTGCATTGCGACCTGAAAATGATCAGTTCAGCACATCTCAAGCAACATCTTGCCATGCTTTCCATCTGCATGGTGCGCTCTGCCAAAAAATCAACAGCACGCAGTGAAAGATGGGATGCGCTTGTGTGCGACCCCCCCCGTTGTAGACACGCGTGGCAAGAAAAACGGCCAATCCGTGCATATGCTGAGGCAGCATGAAGGCAAGGTGGGCAACGCTGCAAGAACCGCTTCGACATCCTGGATCATGCTAAGTTTGACACAGCTCGATCAACACCCTTCTGCCAAGCTGTCTTCCATCCGCATAGTGCGCTCTGCCAAACAGTAGCAACAGCACACAGTAAAAGATGGGCTGCGATGGTGTGCGACCCGTTGTAGACACGCTTGGCAAGAAAAAGGGCCAATGCGTGCATATGCTGGGCCAGCCCGAAGGCAAGGTGGGCGACGTTGCAAGAACCATCAAGAACCGCTTAGACATCCTGGATCATGCTAAGTTTGACACAGCTCGATCAACACCCTTCTGCCAAGCTGTCTTCCATCCGCATAGTGCGCTCTGCCAAACAGTAGCAACAGCACACAGTAAAAGATGGGCTGCGATGGTGTGCGACCCGTTGTAGACACGCTTGGAAAGAAAAAAAAGCCAATACGTGCATATGCTGGGCCAGCCTGAAGGCAAGGTGGGCGACGTTGCAAGAACCGCTTAGACACCCTGGCTCATGCTAAGTTTGACACACTCGATCAACACCCTGCTGCCATGCTGTCTTCCATCCGCATAGTGCGCTCTGCCAAACAGTTGCAACAGCACACAGAAAAAGATGGGCTGCGATGGTGTGCGACCCGTTGTAGACACGCTTGGCAAGAAAAAGGGCCAATACGTGCATATGCTGGGCCAGCCTGAAGCCAAGGTGGGCAACGTGGCAAGAACCATCAAGAACCGCTTAGACAACCTGGCTCATGCTAAGTTCGACACAGTTCGATCAACACCCTTCTGCCAAGCTGTCTTCCATCCGCATAGTGCGCTCTGCCAAACAGTTGCAACAGCACACAGAAAAAGATGGGCTGCGATTGTGTGCGACCCGTTGTAGACACGCTTGGCAAGAGAAAGGGCCAATACGTGCATATGCTGGGCCAGCCTGAAGGCAAGGTGGGCGACGTGGCAAGAACCATCAAGAACCGCTTAGACACCCTGGCTCATGCTAAGTTCGAAACAGTTCGATCAACACCCTTCTGCCAAGCTGTCTTCCATCCGCATAGTGCGCTCTGCCAAACAGTTGCAACAGCACACAGAAAAAGATGGGCTGCGATTGTGTGCGACCCGTTGTAGACACGCTTGCCAAGAAAGAAAGGCCAATACGTGCATATGCTGGGCCAGCCTGAAGGCAAGGTGGGCGACGTTGCAAGACCCGCTTAGACATCCTGGCTCATGCTAAGTTTGACACAGCTCGATCAACACCCTGCTGCAATGCTGTTTTCCATCCGCATAGTGCGCTCTGCCAAACAGTAGCAACAGCACACAGTAAAAGATGGGCTGCGATGGTGTGCAACCCGTTGTAGACACGCTTGGCAAGAGAAAGGGCCAATACGTGCATATGCTGGGCCAGAGCTGAAGGCAAGGTGGGCGACGTTGCAAGAACCATCAACAACCGCTTAGACAACCTGGCTCATGCTAAGTTCAACACACTTTCATCAACACCCTGCTGCTATGCTGTTTTCCATCCGCATAGTGCGCTCTGCCAAACAGTTGCAACAGCACACAGTAAAAGATGGGCTGCGATTGTGTGCGACCCGTTGTAGACACGCTTGGCAAGAGAAAGGGCCAATACGTGCATATGCTGGGCCAGCCCGAAGGCAAGGTGGGCGACGTTGCAAGAACCATCAAGAACCGCTTAGACACCCTGGCTCATGCTAAGTTCGACACACTTTGATCAACACCCTGCTGCTATGCTGTTTTCCATCCGCATAGTGCGCTCTGCCAAACAGTTGCAACATCACACAGTAAAAGATGGGCTGCGATGGTGTGCGACCCGTTGTAGACACGCTTGGCAAGAAAAAGGGCCAATACGTGCATATGCTGGGCCAGCCTAAAGACAAGGTGGGCGACGTTGCAAGAACCGATTAGACACCCTGCCTCATGCTAAGTTTGACAGAGCTCGATCAACACCCTGCTGCCATGCTGTCTTCCATCCGCATAGTGCGCTCTGCCAAACAGTTGCAACAGCACACAGTAAAAGATGGGCTGCGATGGTGTGCGACCCGTTGTAGACACGCTTGGCAAGAAAAAAAGGCCAATACGTGCATATGCTGGGCCAGCCCGAAGGCAAGGTGGGCGACGTTGCAAGAACCGCTTAGACACCCTGGCTCATGCTAAGTTCGACACAGCTCGATCAACACCCTGCTGCAATGCTGTTTTCCATCCGCATAGTGCGCTCTGCCAAACAGTTGCAACAGCACACAGTAAAAGATGGGCTGCGATTGTGTGCGACCCGTTGTAGACACGCTTGGCAGCAAAAAGGGCCAATACGTGCATATGCTGGGCCAGCCTGAAGGCAAGGTGGGCGACGTTGCAAGAACCGCTTAGACATCCTGGCTCATGCCAAGTTTGACACAGCTCGATCAACACCCTGCTGCCATGCTGTCTTCCATCCGCATAGTGCGCTCTGCCAAACAGTTGCAACAGCACACAGAAAAAGATGGGCTGCGATTGTGTGCGACCCGTTGTAGACACGCTTGGCAACAAAAAAGGCCAATACGTGCATACGCTGGGCCAGCCTGAAGGCAAGGTGGGCGACGTTGCAAGAACCGCTTAGACACCCTGCCTCATGCTAAGTTTGACACAGCTCGATCAACACCCTGCTGCAATGCTGTCTTCCATTCGCATAGTGCGCTCTGCCAAACAGTAGCAACAGCACACAGTAAAAGATGGGCTGCGATGGTGTGCGACCCGTTGTAGACACGCTTGGCAAGAGAAAGGGCCAATACGTGCATATGCTGGGCCAGCCTGAAGGCAAGGTGGGCGACGTTGCAAGAACCGCTTAGACATCCTGGCTCATGCTAAGTTTGACACAGCTCGATCAACACCCTGCTGCAATGCTGTCTTCCATCCGCATAGTGCGCTCTGCCAAGCAGTTGCAACAGCACACAGTAAAAGATGGGCTGCGATGGTGTGCGACCCGTTGTAGACACGCTTGGCAAGAGAAAGGGCCAATACGTGCATATGCTGGGCCAGCCTGAAGGCAAGGTGGGCGACGTTGCAAGAACCGCTTAGACATCCTGGCTCATGCTAAGTTTGACACAGCTCGATCAACACCCTGCTGCAATGCTGTCTTCCATCCGCATAGTGCGCTCTGCCAAACAGTAGCAACAGCACACAGTAAAAGATGGGCTGCGATTGTGTGCGACCCGTTGTAGACACGCTTGGCAAGAGAAAGGGCCAATACGTGCATATGCTGGGCCAGCCTGAAGGCAAGGTGGGCGACGTTGCAAGAACCATCAAGAACCGCTTAGACACCCTGGCTCATGCTAAGTTCGACACACTTTGATCAACACCCTGCTGCTATGCTGTTTTCCATCCGCATAGTGCGCTCTGCCAAACAGTTGCAACAGCACACAGTAAAAGATGGGCTGCGATTGTGTGCGACCCGTTGTAGACACGCTTGGCAAGAGAAAGGGCCAATACGTGCATATGCTGGGCCAGCCAGAAGGCAAGGTGGGCGACGTTGCAAGAACCATCAAGAACCGCTTAGACACCCTGGCTCATGCTAAGTTCGACACACTTTGATCAACACCCTGCTGCTATGCTGTCTTCCATCCGCATAGTGCGCTCTGCCAAACAGTTGCAACAGCACACAGTAAAAGATGGGCTGCGATGGTGTGCGACCCGTTGTAGACACGCTTGGCAAGAGAAAGGGCCAATACGTGCATATGCTGGGCCAGCCTGAAGGCAAGGTGGGCGACGTTGCAAGAACCGCTTAGACATCCTGGCTCATGCTAAGTTTGACACAGCTCGATCAACACCCTGCTGCAAAGCTGTCTTCCATCCGCATAGTGCGCTCTGCCAAAAAGTAGCAACAGCACACAGTAAAAGATGGGCTGCGATTGTGTGCGACCCGTTGTAGACACGCTTGGCAAGAGAAAGGGCCAATACGTGCATATGCTGGGCCAGCCTGAAGGCAAGGTGGGCGACGTTGCAAGAACCGCTTAGACATCCTGGCTCATGCTAAGTTTGACACAGCTCGATCAACACCCTGCTGCAATGCTGTCTTCCATCCGCATAGTGCGCTCTGCCAAACAGTAGCAACAGCACACAGTAAAAGATGGGCTGCGATGGTGTGCGACCCGTTGTAGACACGCTTGGCAAGAGAAAGGGCCAATACGTGCATATGCTGGGCCAGCCTGAAGGCAAGGTGGGCGACGTTGCAAGAACCGCTTAGACATCCTGGCTCATGCTAAGTTTGACACAGCTCGATCAACACCCTGCTGCAATGCTGTCTTCCATCCGCATAGTGCGCTCTGCCAAGCAGTAGCAACAGCACACAGTAAAAGATGGGCTGCGATGGTGTGCGACCCGTTGTAGACACGCTTGGCAAGAGAAAGGGCCAATACGTGCATATGCTGGGCCAGCCTGAAGGCAAGGTGGGCGACGTTGCAAGAACCGCTTAGACATCCTGGCTCATGCTAAGTTTGACACAGCTCGATCAACACCCTGCTGCAATGCTGTCTTCCATCCGCATAGTGCGCTCTGCCAAACAGTAGCAACAGCACACAGTAAAAGATGGGCTGCGATGGTGTGCGACCCGTTGTAGACACGCTTGGCAAGAGAAAGGGCCAATACGTGCATATGCTGGGCCAGCCTGAAGGCAAGATGGGCGACGTTGCAAGAACCGCTCAGACATCCTGGCTCATGCTAAGTTTGACACAGCTCGATCAACACCCTGCTGCAATGCTGTCTTCCATCCGCATAGTGCGCTCTGCCAAACAGTAGCAACAGCACACAGTAAAAGATGGGCTGCGATGGTGTGCGACCCGTTGTAGACACGCTTGGCAAGAGAAAGGGCCAATACGTGCATATGCTGGGCCAGCCTGAAGGCAAGGTGGGCGACGTTGCAAGAATCGCTTAGACACCCTGGCTCATATGCTAAGTTCGACACAGTTCGATCAGCACCCTGCTGCCATGTGTGGTTCAGGGGCGATGGACAAATTTGGTCTTGGGTCCTGGCGTAAATCCACCCAGCTCTGGGGCCCCAGGCGACTCGAGAGCCTGTTGGTGCAAATGCGGCCACCTGGCGGCCGATTCGGATCCATTTGGTTGGTTCTCCGGGGCAACCGAGCAGCTTGACCTCAAAGGGATATTAACATAGGAGTAAGTCCGTATGTAGTGACAAAAGCAGTAATGGTGCGAAAACCTTGGGTTCTCTTTGATAGCAAATAAAATCATGGGAAAACCTTTGGTGTCTCTTTGTTGACACAAGGGCTTTTGAACTAGTTGCAACCAGCGGCTTTCCACCAAGAGGGGGATGGGCTTGTGTGGTGTCTCGTAACAATTCATGCCTTTCCATCTGCTTAACCGGTACTGTTCTGCTACACACATTCCCAGTTGTTCAGTGACCCTGGTAAGAACAAGAGACCCTTTTTGGGGTTGACCAGCTTTAGTAGGGAAGCCACCCAGGAAAAAGGGACACAACGGGTTCCGATGTTAAGCAACTTCCTTAAAAGGTCAATTCCGGGTAAACGAATCTTCGTGGAACCTATATATTCTGAAATGGGTGCGAATCTTAATGGGGCACAGTTTGATGGACGCCATTCAGGTAAGGGTTCATGTCCACTAACCGCTTTTGAGGTGGTTCCCTGCTAAAATTCATAGCCTGAGATAATGTCCCACCAACAAAAAAGGGAAGTGACCGCACCCCTTTCGGAAGACAGGGGTCCTTTTGGGCTTCTATGCATTGCCATGTTCGGACGTTAAAAAAAGCAGTTGGAAAAGTAAACATGATATTCAACCCCCTTTTTCTGGACACGTAGGTTTTTGAGGACTGCCATCATCTGAAAGTCCACTTGCATGATTGCTAGTAAGAGGCTAAGAAAGACAACACCCATGGATCAAAGTGCACCGTTCTCAAGGGTCTCAATTGGTACAGAAAGTAGGTAGCTTTAAACTGCAATTGAACCCACAAGCACGGGGTTGGGCCCACCAACACATACACTTTCAGATCCTGGTCCATTTGGGGATGATTCCTACTGGGATCCTTTCCTGGACATCATTTAGAGATTCATGTCTCAAATACCCCACCTGCCCTAAGAACATCAACTCCGCTCCAGCCTCCAAGGCAGTGCCATTGATCCGGCGCACACGACCGGCCACGAAGCCTCAAGGTGAAGCGTCCAACGGTTGAAACTGGGGCTCACACCCAAACCGGCTAAAGGAAGGGTTGTCAAACTTATTTCACCTTAGCGCCATTTTTTGGCTTGAATGTTAAGGGGTATCTCCCCACATTTGCCTGCAAATGGGAATGGGGTTCAACCCCCCAAAAGTCATCAACTAAAGGGCGACTGATTGTTCAAAATAGTGGTCCCCTAAATGGCAATGGTGCCAAACGTGGGCCTACCTCTTTGAGAAACACTTATTGGTCTGTTTTGGCATTCCCTTCAAAAGGTGGCATAAGGCAGCACCGGGGTCCGAAAGGGGGTCATAGTTTTGATAACCCCTCAAGGGATTGAGAACAAGCAATCAAATTAAAGTAACAAAACACAACAGTCATCATCGTGGGATACTGTAATGGTAGAAGTTGATTAGGCCCTTGTACTTTTGCTCAGTGCTGGCCCGTAGGAAACACACAACCACAGTTCGTGGCTCGGTTTATTTAACGAGCCCCCCACAAACAAAGAACAAAGGGTCAAACTGAGCAATCATTCAACCAGAACGCCCGGCACTTGTTTGAAACGCTGACGAGCAGCCTACAAAAACTCAGATTCACTGACATGAACACCGACTTTGCAACACATGGCAATGCATCTTATGCTCCCAATGTCGACCCCCCCGATTTATCAACCTGGCGGATTGATTGGGGTGCGCCTCCCCCTAAAAGTGAAGGATCCACTCTTAAATGGGACACCCCCGAAGAACATCGTCAAAACTGAACTGTTCTGTTCCTTCAGCCTTCACACACAAGACACAAAAGAGTCCCTTTGGGGGTGGTTTAAACAGGAGGTTCAAAGAAAAAACACCGCTTTGGGAGAGGGATTCCCTGATTTGAAGCTTTCCCTAAAATGGCCAGCATAATTCCTTGAAAGCAGTTCCAAAACGGCTACACTCAACCAAAACACTCAAATCCCTCTGCGAAAAACAACAAAGTAGAATTCGCTATCTGTTCCTGAAACTTACCATGGCCAACAGGCGTTGGTTTGGGGCGGATGGATCCCGTCGGCAGCTCTCCCAGCGCTCGCTTGGTTTCCAGCCCACCCCGGGCACCATCTCTCCGCCCAGCTGAGCCGCCGGAGGGGCCACCGCCTCGAGAAAGCATAGCTTTTGGGTTGAATGGAACCCCCCACTAAACCCCAAACCTCCAAAAAGCTAGGGGGATGGCTGGGAGCCACCAGGTTGCAGAACCAGACTTAGACCCCCCTGCAGAATGTGATCTTGCTAGTTGAAAGGGGTCATGATGGAAAACAACAAAGGCAAACAGTTGAAGAGGTACGACACAGTACGTCTGATCATGCCTGAGTTTGGTTTGATAGTACCCTGCACCCCCTTTCTTGGAATTTCGGCCCTTGTGCGCAGAGGCAAAGAAAGAGGGTGACGCGCTTGGTCTAAGAAGCAAACTACGACAATTGCATTGTCATAGTCAGCCCTTCATGTCCCCCATTTTCGACGTCCGAACAAGTGTACGGGCAATGGGCAATGTTGACCTGCAAGTAATCAATCTGGTGGATCAACCGGCTGGGCCCCGCATTGGCCCCCCACTAGGATTGGCAGGCCCTTTGGGGAGCCCTTTGCAGCCACAGGATCCAAGATGGAAAACCCATTGTTCAGGAACCAAAGGCGTGCTCATCTGGGCTCGACATTACGTTGTCATTCTTGCCTCAACCTGGATATTCGCCAGGAGTCAATCTTGCGGGTTGCCACACGTACACCTGGGGGTCCTTCATGGGAATGCGCGAGCCCCTGGCTCGAAGCCGCTTTGGATGTAACACCAAATGCACCATTCGACATGGACACCAAAGGAAACTAACCATACTTTCTTTCTTTTGTTTTGGGGGGGGGGGTGAGACAAGCCCTTTCCTGGAGAATGACATGTTTCGGTCCCTGGGGTTTTGCGGGGAGTTTGGGAAATCGGCCCGCCGTCTCGTCCTCCCCAGACCAAGAATAGACTGCCAAACACATGTCACTTGCCCCCGACTTTCTGCTTTTGGCAGGGGTACAGGGAAGGCCAAGCAAGTCGCATCTGTGCCGCTGTATCTGTGGCGAACAAGGAGTCCAACACGGAAGGGAGCGGGCTGGCAAACTCTGAGATGCTCTTTGCAAATCCTGACAGAGCCAAACATGTTCGAAAATGCGTAGACAATAATGTTGGGGCCAGTCGTTTCAAACACGTAGACATGCGAGCGTGCCTAAAGGAAGGAACGCTCGAACATAGCGGGCCTTCTTTGGGGTTGCCTTCAAAAGCAGCCCCTCCGGTCACAGAGTCACCGTCCCCACCCATTCCCCAAGGCGCCACCCCTGGGTGTCGCTTAAGGAGGGAGGCCCAACAAGGGTGGTTTCCCCTTCAACTCCCCACAAAAAGAGGAGTGTAAAAAAATAGGGGGAGCTGCGAAATGTGTGGTTTCCTCTTGGTGTGTAAACCAAGCTGAAAAGGGTATCAACTGCCAAAAGACCCACGCCTTTATCTCGGACCGTCGGAGGTGGCTTCCAAACAACCGGCTGAGGTACCGATGCACTGTCAGGGTTGTTTTTGGTGGTGCTTTGTATTGACTTTTGAACCATCCAAAGAAGGGTACTAGTACCAACTCCAACTGGAAAACCCCGCAGTTGGGTCTTTCCAAAATATGGGGATTCCAACAAAACGAAAAAGTAACGCCCACATCCGGCCTCCTCTTTCTCTTCCTTGGGCTCCTTCCCACCCAGCGAGGCGGCGATCGCCTCGTGTTGGGTGCGTCGCTGAGGGTTCAATGGAGGCTTGGCTAATCCTGATGCATCCGGAAAACGGCTGGAAAGGGGACCCTTACGCAACCCAAAACGGGGAGGTATACAATGGAAAAATAATGACCTACTCAAGCAGGTCTAAACATCCACACCAGCTGGTCAGGGGTGATGGACAACCAATGTTCTCCCCCATATGTGTGGGTACAACCACGGTTGTCCCCTCCCCTACCAGCACCCTTGCAGGACTGCTTTTCGGACAGGACTTGAGGTTTTGGACATGGGAAATAGTAGTCGTTGGAGGGCGATGGTAATGCTGGCCCCAGAATAATCTTCCTGCCTGCCCAATCGGGAGACACTTCCCCTCAAAGCAGTGAAGGAGCCCTTTGAAAAGCAACGCCCCCCCCCATCACTCAATAAAGCGTTGATTGCTCCCCTGCACCTGCACAGCACGCAACCCAAATAGGAGGTTGCCCAAAAAGATACGCCTCAAAAGCAATGCTTGTTTTCGATTCCATGTTGTTGAGGGAGGGAACCTTCGGGAACCTCGACAAACATTAGGCCAACATCGCAATATCCACACTGTACTAATAGGTTGATTTGTTCTGGGCAAGCGAGGGATTGAAGCGATCTGGAGTTGACGTCTCACCCTTGGAACTCCAATGGGGCCGCGCCCAAACTGCTTAACATGAAACACAAGAACCACTTTCTCAAATGGCCAGCTTGGTCTCAGATTGACAAATGGTGTCATGAGCTCCCATCCACTTAATTCGATACTGAAAATTGCTTTTCGCGGGTGATCTTCATATTACCCTTTGCTATTCCCATTCTGGACACATAGAGGGATCCCCAGAACATGCGTGACACTCTCGCACATCCCCTGATCCGGCAATCAATCGAGCTTTCTCCGGCTGCCCTAAGGATGTTCCAATCCACGTTGGGTGGTTTCCTGCACTCCGTGTGAAGTTGCTCCTCCTGGCATACACCGCCAGGGATAACCTCACATATTTCATTGTGTCCGTGGTGGTGGACAAGGCAGGAAAATGGTTTCATCTCTGCTGGTGCCGATTTCGCATCCCCTCTTGCGACGGAAATCCAACCGGCCTCTAGGTCAGCCAACTGCTCAGCAGCGAACCTCAGTGATCCAGGTCGTCTCTCTATCTCTCTCTCTCGCTCTCTCTTTCTCTCTCTCTCTCTCTCCCTCTCTCTCTTGCTCTTTCTCGCTCCTAAAACAGGATACATCTTTGACTCTCAACTGGAGCAATCCATTTGAGGCTAGATCCCAAGTTTGGCCAATCCGTACACTGAAACCACCCTCCCCCTCACCCTCTGCCCCAATTCACTGGAAAATCAGTGAAATGTTTTGGCCAAGCTTGGCCCATAGTAAAGAGGGGCAAATCGAATCCCTGGGAACACACCGTTTCCAAAGGGTTGAAAGGTTCAAGGTTCAAAGAAAGAGCACCCAACTTTCAGTGCAATTCCATAAACATGGCCTTGTTTATCTCCATCTGGACTGGCTCACGAAGCCATTGATGTCGACTTGGCGTCCCCCCAATGAAAACAGGCAGCGCTACAAGGAGACTCGCCTAGCTGCTGAGCCAACATTCTCTAGTTTTGTGTTTGATTGTTGGGAACCTGAGCGAGTTATTTGAGCATCCTTTGAGTGTGAGAAATCACGGCACGGTGCACTGGCAACACCGAGTGCCTGCTTGGGCAGTTGGCAACATGGTGGGCAACATTGTCGTTGAGAGAATTCAGATTGGATATTTTGACGGGTCCAGAATTGAGGTGTAATGGAAACCCCGGATTGATACGCCTTCCTACTAATACGGCTGTGTCAAAAACAAAAGAAGGATTCGCGCCAAAAGGGAGACCACCCTACTTATCAACCAGGGGCTTACTACTCCAGGGAAACAGGGGCTTACTAATCCAGAGAACACCTCATGGTACAAATAACTAGCTGTAAATAGACATCCAAAAGGTTGTTCTGGCGGGCGGGTCTCGATCTCCGACTCTTGTAAATCTGTCCATCTCCGCCAGAAATCTGAGGGTCCATCTGGATTACATTGAACCACAATCTTGGAATCCACCTCTTGTGCAAATGAGGCTGGCTCTCCCTCTAGCACAACTGTGAGAAAGTAAACGGTTTAAAAAGGCCCCCTCTGAAAGTGTGCCCCCCTGCCTACACATCACTAATTGGGTGTGCCTCGTTGGGACGGCCGCATTTGGCTTGGGCAGCTGCTGCATGCTCAGATCTGCCTGAGATCTGTCCTGCCAGGGGCAACTCAGAATTTTCCCTATGGGGTGGCCCATTTAAGCAGCCTGTGAATCATATTGCAAGTCGAACTCGGTTGGCTACATCACCTAATTAATTGCTGCAAAGAGAAACCGGGGCCTGAACGGTGAATGATATGCGTGAGTCCAACAATTGTGCTTTCGTCCTGTTTGAAGACGTCTTGATGTTGTTTCTGCTGACGGCCTGATTAGCGACCATGAGCTCTCAAGGCACTTTTTGGGGTTGGGGTGGGGGTGGGGTGGGTGGTTTGGTGTTTTCAAACCTGTTTACTATGCGACAGCCAACGCAGACACACATGCAAACAAACACACAGCACGCGCACGCCGGCCGTGCGTGCCGGAAACTCTGCGTACACACCGTCCTTGCACACGCTGTTCATGCACAAGCCGCTTTTCTCGCGCACACACTGTGACCAGACATAGTCACATAGTCGGACATACACCTGTGCGCAATGACATTTGGGCTGACTGTGGCACTTGGGTATCATGCCCATACATCTGTTGTGTGTGCACGTTGCCGTGTCAGAACGACCAGAACCCAACGGTTGTTATGGTCAACTTGCATTGGCGTTCAACCCACCAGAACCCAGCTGTTCTTGCGTCTGCTTGCAGTGGCTTGAGTCGACAGACATGTTCAACAGAAGATCAATAATTTCAGACAGGCGTAGTCTTCAACTGGCGTAGACAGAAGAGCCGCTCAAACAGGCGAGAACGGCAGGCGAAAAAAAGTAGTTGCGCGCGAAGTGTGGCAGCAAGTGTGCTGCGCTCCATTGAGAAAGGCAGAAAACAAGACAAAAGTGATGCAAAATACAGCACGTGCGACAATGCCTCAATTTGCCACTCTTGAAAATGCACTGGTAATTGCCATAGGTTTGGCTTTGACCAATGTAATGATGAAGTTGCGTGGCCCCCGGGCGCTAACGGCGCCGTGACCTTGTTTCTCTCACACACACACCAAAAGGAAGGAGTTGCCCACTTTGAATTGTGTCGTACACCCCTGTGTGACTGCTTAAACACAAACAAATATCACAGTACAAGGACCAAGCGACAAATCGATACAAATCGTACGAATCAAGCACATGATTGCTTGTGGGCTGACACAGAAAGCAATTCTTGTCGCATGCTGAATCACTGTGATTGGGATCCACTGTCTGGACCGGGCCAGGGTTGTGGAATGTTGTGGAACCCTCTCTGGGCAAGTTTCCCTCCTACCAGGTCCGTTGCAGAGGAACATCACCGTCAGGCTCGACGAAGCGGGTGGAGGGTACCAAAGTGGGCCACCGCTATGGCTACTTTGTCATCTTAAAGAGGACCCCCTCAGAATGGCTTTGGGGATCTCAACTTGGAGACTTTGAAAACAAGAGTTGGATCAACCCCTTATGACGTGTAAACCAACCAAAATCTATATTTCTTTGAGCGATCCCTACCTTGGAGAAAACAATAGCAAATGAGTGCCCTGGTAAACTGCTCGGCACTGGTTGCACTACTTGTTTGCGCCCTTCTGACATTAGTGTTGGCATAGATTCTGACATAACTTCTGACACATTCCAACAACTGAAGTTTTCTCTTGTGACGCTTTCCCCGATACATATTCTGTCACATGTTATGACATGTTATCCATACGCTCTGGCAGAACTTCTGGCAACTAATCTGTCTGACTTCAAGTCGGACCCTTCGACAAGTCCAGCATAGCACACTCCCGGCACACTCCCAGCAGGACGGCCAGGCGGAGGCACAGGAGGGAGGCGGAGGAGGCAGGAGACACTGACATAAATCTAGAGACCCTCACCTAGGTGGGGAACAACCTACTTTTGGTTTCCCAAAACGAGAAAACCGTGTTTGGATATTTCAGCACACTCCCAACGCGCCTTCGGCGCCTGGGACTCGGATGCCTTCAGCTCCGCGTCTTGCGGCTCTGCCTGCAAAACGAAAGTGTTTTAGATAAACCCAGTCGCATTGTTTCCCCCGAATCATACAATGTCCTTCTTCGGGAAAAGTCTCTTTTTCGGGGTCCTTTCATAGGGACGACGGAGAAAAAACACGATTTTGGGGGGTTCCTCCGCAGTTCCTCCAACCCCAATTGAGCTCAATTGGAGACAAACCCACACAATGATGACAGTCACAACATGGTATTTAAGAAACCTACTCCAACCCAATGGCCAAAAACAGCTTCTTGCCGCGCACCAGACTTATAATATATATATAATATATATATATATGAAAGTATGTGTAGGGAGTGTCCTTTGCTAACCTTCACTTCAGGTATTGATTGTGGAATAACATAAGGGATCCGAAGAAATCATCGTTCAAACGTCCTAAAACAACCGAAACACCCTGCAACAAGTAAGCAATTTTCGTGGCGATTGGGAAAGCGGAAGCACAAACACAAGAAGAACAACATTTTGAAGCTGAGTAGTACCCTTCAACGGGACCATCCACCGCAAGTAGTGTTCAATTTGGCTCTAAAGCGAACTCCTATATGCTGGCCTCGTTATTTTGCAATTCCGAAGTAAGGTCACACACGTAGGTGGTAGAGTAAAGAGAGACACCTCCAGTTTCTGGCTTTTGATCCTACTCAGTTGCCCCTTAGCGTTAGGGACCCAAACAATTGTCCAGGTTGACCTTCGGGGGCCATGACTAATGGAGTAGAGGACACTGAAGTTGTGAAAAGGTTGATTCGCTTTGGGCCCGGTTCAATTGACTCACCGGGTTCGGAAGGGCCGAGGGCCGTCCCGCCTCCTGCGGTCTCCGACGGCCTGGCCGGAATCTCGAACTGAAATCGTTTCTTTTGGGCGGCTATGACACATACCCAAATCGCTGTGATGGCTATTGTAAGGTGGCTTTTTGCGGTTCTTTAGCCCGGCGGTTTGTTGGCCCAAGGGTATTTTTTCTCATTGTACAAAGCCAGGTACCAAATGGCTTGCCATCGGCGCAAGGTGACGTCGTCCTGCGATCTGTGTGCTGGGTCATAATACCGATCACTCAAAAGCCGTCTCACCCAGGCCGTGAGCGCTTTCAAGGCCGCAGAGAAGGGTGCTGCAGGCGCACGTGAACCATCACACGTTGCTGGTGCGTCAAAGATGCATAGCCTGCCACTTGCGTGCTGTGTCGGTCACTGCAACGCCACAGAGCGTGCAGTTCCTCCGGGAGGCTCAGCCTCGTGAGAAAATTGTCCAGACACAAAGTCAAGCCCACCCAACCAACACTAAACCCAACCCTAAACCCAACCCTAAAACCTCCCTAAACCACCGCTAATCCAACCCTAAACCATCCCTAACCTCTCCCCCCCACTTAGCCTACCGTATACAAGCCCCAAACCAACCGCACAAAACCCTGAACAAAGTCCTAAACAAACCCTAAGCCAACCCTAGACCCCCCAGACCACGGCTGATCCACCACTAAACCACCTCCCCCAAAAAACAACCACCTATACAAACCCAAAACCAACCTAAACCAACCCTAAACTCTAAACCCACCCAAACTTGCCCGAAACAAACTTAAACCCAGCCGTAACCAAACCTTAAACCGGCAGCCCACTGATGCCAGGGGTGTGAAAACCCAAACATGCAGGGATGTTAAAACTTAAACCGATGCCAGGGATGTTGACAAAGCTGAAGTAAAGCACGTGCATTTTGTAACATGTCGTGAAATGCATCATTTAACACCGGGAGTGAAAAACAACAAACATCCTGAAAAATAACAAAACTAATCCTCTCGACCTGTAAACAATCAAAGAAGACCAAGCCCTTTTCCACCATCATGACAGTGGACAGGTGGGCTTTTCAAGACGACTGTTTCAAAACCTCTTATAGCTTCCGTGATTGTTGGAAGAAGGGTTCTGGCTAAACATACTGCCCCCCCCCCGGCTGTAACTGCGGAAGCCCTCAAGGACACTGGCCCTCCCTTCTTAGAGAATTCGTCCAAATCAGGAAACTCCAATCAGGTTCTTTCCAAAAACCTGATAGGAAAAACACAAGTAAGAGAACCATAAACATGGTGATAACATATGATAAAATGAAGAACACTTGTTTCTGAGCTGTTTGAAAGGAAGACCAGGCAAACCTGCTGTTGATGGTCGATATCCTGCAGCAGCTGGAACGGACGAAGCCCTTTGAGTTTAGAATCCGAGCTTTTTCCAGGGGGACGGATCGGCTGGGTTGTCAAAGGGGAGCCATTCGCCAAGCAACCAACCAACCACGCAGGCAACAAACTAACCGACAGCCCTACTATGAGTAGTGGGACAAACCTACCAACTGGTTTGACGTGAATTTTGGCCATCAACGGTATCTTTGAATCCCGCGCTTCCATGGTACACCTCCCGTCTCTTTCCCCCGCCTCGTCGCCTAACCGGCCGGCGGCTGCCGGTAGGCTGCGGCGGCTTGGGGGCTGAGCGGGGCGTTGCGCAAGCGCGGCCAAAGGATCTACGGGGTGGCCCGGGGCGGGGGGACCGCTTAGTGCACCAGCCATGCTTCATGGATGTCCACCTTCTGGACCCTCCCCGCAAAATCTGGATCTTCTCAATCCCTGACGTGCCAGCAACACACGCTGTCCTTTGAAGCCCCCACTAAAACTGAACCAAAACACAAAGCAACCAGCTGAGACAAAACATATCGGAAAACTTAAGCCCTCGGAGTTCGCTAAACGTTTAGCAACCCCAGTTGGAAAGGTTTACAGGTTAACTGGGGTTGAACAGCACTGAGCTAACTCCCAGACCATCCAAGTGGGGATTCAGGTGCAAGCCCTAAGCTCCCAAGGTTTAGCCAAAAACCAGCTGTGGTGCGGCATTCGACCAGTGAGTAGTTCTGCAAACAGATATTAGCTGCTTGGTTCCAAACGCAAATGGGGATACCCCCAGGTTCAGGTGAGACAGAGAGGCAATTGCAGAGAAACTCTGATGGGTTTGCTCACTCTCGCTGCAGCTGGGTGGATCTACTTCGTGGCTTTGGTTCTGATGTTGCCTGAGTGGTGCTTTGTAGCACGCACTTGTAGGTTGGGGCTTAACCCGCCCTGTTCTTCTTTGCCTGCAAAATGACAGGGAACCCCAAGACCAGGCGCCCCCCCCCCTCCCCGAAAGGAGGATTCTTCTGATATTGTTACCGTCATGCTTGTCTAAGTTCCCTTCCCTACCAACCCAAGTGAGCAGGTCTTTGATCATGGCACGCATAAGTTTTGTGACGGTCTCACGAGTACAGCCCCCCACACTGTGCTCGCAACTCGCAACTCGCACTGACAACCCCACTCTGCCTTGCTTCATGGCATCAATGAGGCTCCTGGGAAGTGCCACTACGCAGCTGTGAAGAATCAAAGGATGACCGCATCTTTCCATGGTTGGTAGTGTTCCCTACCAGCCTTCATCTCAGAGGATTTGATTGTGGCACACGCGTCAACAGTAGTTTCATGTTGGTTTCCTTTCAACATGGACCCACAAAGAGTTGTGCTAAAAAATGATCTGACATGACCGCAGCTGCTGCAAGCAGCAAACATGCCAGGTGGTCAAGATTCCCCTCCTTTTGCCCCGCTTTAGAGCAAACCAAGGCTCACAGAGCGTCCTTTACCTTCTCTGAGGCAAAAACAAGTTTTGCGTGACTGAACCACAAAGCACCAGCGACATCGGCAACCCTAGCCCTAAATCTTGCGAGAGGCCACATTTACATCCACCCCCCGACGGAACACTAGCTGGACCCTATCTACAGAATGACTACATCCACCGCGTCCATGAAACCAAATTGACAGAATGGGTCCATGCGGCCCTGGCAGCTAGGTCCACACAGGCTCAACAACTGTCCCATATACTTGGAAGCATCGGTTGGTTGGTGGATAATTCGGTTCATAAGTTCATAAGTTGTCTTGTTCGTTTTCGATGCCTGCAAGCCAGATTACGCCCGCCGCCCAAGAACACGCACTGTACCCCATCCACATGGCAAACACACGATTCCGCCCCCTAGACCCCATCCCCATCCACATGACATGGCACGACATGACACTACGTCCTCCGCTCAAGGGAGCACCCGCTCGACCCCATGACATGGCACCACATTGCGTCCACAGCCCAAGGGAATGCCTACCCAAACGGCATCAAGTCACTAGGTCCAAAAAAAATGCGCGTGAGCTGCAACCCTGAAACAATAAAATCCTCGAGGCACCATAGGTACCGCTTCCCTCGAGTTTCCGTTTCAATAACCCCCCAAAAAGGGGGAAGCTCCCCTGCACAAAAGACGGCGCCCATCTCTCTTCCGACAGGCCTTCGGCCCCCACCCCGATCCCGGATCCTGATTTTGGCCCGCGACGAAGATGGCCTGCCGTGAATTTTGGGGGTCTATAGGGTTTCCCTCTTCAGAATTGTTCCTGTTAGCTTGGTTGCCGTTGACCCCTCCGCAAAAGATTAACTTTTTGCGGGTTTGGTGGAAAACCCCTTGATTTCCCAAAAAGTTAAAGTCTAAAGATCCAACCTAATAGCAGTCAAGTTAGGGAGAAACCACTAGTGGGACTTTTAGGATCAAACACAACCCAGGTTGATCAAATACGGGGGGATGCCCCAAGTTAGAATCCTTTGATTCTTTTTCAAGGCAGAACACTGTAAAACCAAAGGGCCCAAGTTCCTTCGAGCATTTGTTTTTTGAAACGACTATCTCCAGCTTTCTGAGTTGATGACCTCCAGAAACAGTCAACCGAATGTTCCCAGTTTTTGAGAGAAAACAACAAAACAGTGGGTCTTCAAATGGGAGGGCTTCTAGGGGGGTGATTATGTGAGTCTGGAATTCCCTCCACGGGTCATGACGGCCTAAACCGGAAAGGCTTATGTGGTTCATCTCAAATCTGAACAAACTATGCTGATGATAACGCACTGAACCAAACATGAGGACTCGACCCAAACATGTAGCCATCATCAGGGGTGAGGTTGCACACACTTTGTGAAGTCGCATAGTTTGCCCGGCAAAACGCTTGGCCAATCTGAGACTGCTGCAAGTAAACTTTGCGGTGATAAAACGGCAAAAGGAAATGAGTTAAGTCTGACGACGGTTGAAGTTCTCTTTGGGAGCCCGGTGGCTCAGGAACAGCCTCCGGAGCTGCCCTGAAGTGGGCCGTGGCTGAACAGGGACCCCCGGTGAATCTAGTTACCGCAGTAGGCAACCAGCAATTTTCCTTAATGTGATTCAGGGAGGGTGGTTCCCTTGGTTGTCCACTATAACAGTGCGATGGATTGTTGTTGTTTTGAAATGGTTCCCCAGGTATCCTACAAACAAGGCATATCTGGTGGCATGTGTCTTCAATTATAGCAGGTGAGCTCGTCATAGAATGGTCAAATGTGTCCCAACTGTTCACCATCGCCTTGTGCAGGCTCCATTTTCCGCTCAAGCCACTGGCCAAAAAGCGCGCTGGCCGAGCCGGGCAATGTCGCCCACTTTCAACCAGCTTGCCATAGTAGCGAAAAACAGGGTTTGTGCGAAAACAGGGATTCTGGACCCTGAAAACTGTTGTCTTCAGATATCCCAGCAACTCACAACAATTCACGCGGACAAAAATTGGCCTGATTGCGCCCGAAGGTAATAGTTACGACTCTCATTGCAGGATCCCAATCTCTTCCTTGCTTTCTTGGTTACTGTTGACCCCCTGCAAAAAGCTTAACTTTTAGGGGGTTTGGTGGAAAACTCCTTGATTTCCCAAAAAGTTAAAGTCTAAAGATCCAACCCAATAGCAGTCAAGCTTTAAGGTGCCTGGCGCAACCCGTCCCTTCCCCAAAGCATTGCTAAGCTATACATGTGAATTGTTTGTGGATTCCCAAGACAAGGACCTTCATCATGGCGAGCTCGGTCTACATCCAGGTGAGCTCGCCAAGCAAATTGTGAGATCTCTGCAACTCCCGGGTAATCGGGAGTTTTTGGGTACGCACATGTTGATACCAAGCTGTGCGTGAGGGTCAATTTGGGTGTCACACGTCCCACTTCCCCTTTGGTTGAAAGCGGCGCCGAATTCGGGGGCAGTGCGCCAAGACTTTGGCTGCACAATGAAATTCTTGGAGCCAAGCTCAGTAGTACAAATTGCCCCATGCATCCCAGCTACCACGCGAGAGGAATCGCTGTGCAATGGTAAAAAGTCCTGATGTGGGTCATCCTGGATCTGTGCTCATTTCCAGCTGGTTGCTTCCTTTGGTAGCAGTGGTAACTGGCATTGGATGGTGAAACGCACTCCCTGGCGTCTGCACCATGATCTATTCCCCAGCGAATAGCATTGAACCTAACATACAACAGTCTTAGAGGATCTTTGGGCTTTGAAGTTCCATAATGAGTTGCAGGGGAAAGCAAAGTGCTGTGTTTCTGACCTTGCATGCTTTTGTAGGGTGTGAGAGCAGTCACATGCATCATACGTGAGCAGCGGACAAAGTTACTTGTTCCCCATCCAAGAATGGGAAACTTGTGAGGTGCTCCTGGTTTTGGTCGGCACTTGGGTGGTCCCCCCATGTCCTTCCCAAACCAGCAGTAGAGTGCCACTCATATTGTCTGCTCCAATTTGGCCACCTTGTTAGACACTCAACACATTTCCGACTTGACTTGGTCATAACAGGGGTCTGGAAAAGTGAAACAAGCACTAATCCGCTTTTTCTTTTGGGCAAATGAAAACACGTGGACTGTTTCAGAAACAAACAACTCTCCGGGCTGAACAGGCGCCAAGCTCATGATACATGTCTGACAAATGTCAGAATGCGCCAACTGTCTGCCTTACTTTTGCTGATCGCCCCTCACTCAAGGGGTATTGGAGGGCTGCCCATCGGGCAAAAAGGACACCCTTTGCTTGTTGATTCATGTTCAAGGGGCAACCCACTCGGAGAAAACAGAAAAAATAAAAAATAACCTAGGCCTCAGGAAATGGCTCATGTGCAGCTTCTCTGCGCCAAAAGGCGCTCGCTTGGCGCAAAGGCCCGCCCTTTGGGGGACTGCGCAACCTGCACTCATCGCTTCAAGAGCCGCGGAAATACACAAAGGGCCAACACTTGTTACAAACGTTAGGTACCACGACTAGATTTGGACGCAGCTTGTACTCCTGCTCGAACATGACCCCATTATATACCTTCAATCATCCGATTGTTTTTTCCAGGTACGTTCTCATTGGCACAACACAGGAACATTTTCTTTGCAGGGGTCCCTCAAAAGATGCAGATTGGATTTGAGCACGTTCACAAGCTGCTTTCGAGGATCCTTCTTGGACACCACATGAGTTTTGCTGATTCCTTTCGTGACCCCTGTTCCAGTTGAGCCAAAACCAACACCTCCTCCACAAATAAGGAACCTTTATCAGGGGTGAGCTCGTTGTACCCCCAGGTGAGCTCGCTATATTTTGCCCAAACACTCGGGACAACTTCTGGGAAACTGGCCACTCACTAATGAGTGTGCTCCTATTGCGGTATCCTTAAACGCGGAACGAGACAAACTGGGCATCGTGTCAATCTGAAGATACATTGGAGCTGGCTGCGCTTTGTGCTTGGCTTTGGGCTCTGAAGGTTATCGATTTCAGCAATCCTGGAAATGAACAGAAATCAAGGAACATATTATGCCTAAAGTATTTCTGTAAGTTTCCACGTTGGTTTGAGAACGGGCAATCTTCCCAGAACCGAAAAAGGGGCAACTTAAGCCCGTGCACAGGCTAAATAAACACTCAGTAGTTCGTAAGTGACCGTAAACCATGTTTGGATGTTCGCTTACTAAGTACAGTACAGTAGCTTATTTTATCATGCATGGTTATATATATGTTCGCGCAAAGTGTTGTGGTCACCAAGGTTCTTGTACAATGATTAAGCATAGACTCAAAGGCTACCTCACCTGGTAAGCTGTTCTTTGAATTGCTGGCATCTGAGTTGTTGACTTTCCCCACAAGTGCCCTGTAAAAAGAGCAACCGAGGTGAAAAGGTAACTGCAGGCTCCTGTAGCACCGGTCAATGCACCGACTCCGAATTCATCGCCTGAGATGCGCAGCTGGGCGCAGCACATCAGAGTGTACTGTGCTTTGGGATTTGAGATCTGGTGGTTTGTTGGCTAGGCGGGTCGCTGGTTTTGCGGTGCGGCAGTGAGTGAGTCCCTGAGTATTGCAAGAAACGCAACCAGAAGCTGCGACAAAAACAATGATCTGTCTTGCCCCTTGCAAGATGTGAAATTGGGGCCAGCTTTGGTCTCCCCTTCAAAGGGGCACCAGGGTCCAAAAGGGGGCAACATTTTGACAACCCCATGCGGGGAATCAACTGCAGCTTGATGGCTCAGTGGATTTGCGTTTGATTTCCAGTGACTTGTCAAGGCAGGGGTGCATACCAGGATTCGTTTATTGGTTCATACATTCAGACTTTGATGGTATGTACACAAACGAACAAGCAACTGTTGGAATCGGCGGATGCTTGCGCTAGTGCTTGGGCAGGTTGAGTCCTTTCAAGGATGAAAAAACATGCCCCACTTCCTCGAGGGTTGAAGGTGAAGAAATCTCGCAGTCTTAGTAAGAGCAACCAGTGGGGAGAACCCTTGCATCCAGCAACACATCAGGTGCAGTATTCAAGATAAGGCATACTTGGTTCCAAGTCGATACCATGCAGAGCTGTGCGCGGTGTTTGTGGTTTGTTTTTCAGAACATGGGTCCTTTCCCTGCCTACCACTTGCGGGCGAATAAGAGAATTGAACAAGATAGCGACCGATGCGCGATCTAAACTATAGGACACCAGCTTGGCAAAGATAGCTCATCTACCTTTATAGACCATAAAATGCAGCTGACCAAGGAGAGACACCGATTCGCCACATTAGCCATGGTTCATTGGTGCCAGAGCCACTAGTAGCCACTAGTTCTGGCTCAAGTGAAGACAACACTAGACAACCAGCCACGACAGGTCAAAGTAGCCTTTGGATTGAAAAAAAGGGTTCATACAATTCAGCCTTCGTACTGGCGACTAACCAAGTTGCTACCGTTGGCTAGTCTACAGGGCTGCTGTTGGGTTGTTTCCCGGATCAACAAGCATGTGACCCCTTTGTTCTGCCCGACCCTTTTTTTCAAAAAAAACACACGGGAGCAGAAAATTGTGGATTTCCTTTTGGTTTTCATTTAAACCAGTTTCAAAAGGGTACCCTCAAACAAACACGAAGCTAGGTCAAAACAGCTCTATTGTGGGTCCATCCCGCATTGTGGGTCTCTGTAGAGTTGGCCCAGCTGGATCACCTCCAACCAAGTGCTATGTTGCATCGGGGATGTGCGGAAATCTTCCAAGGCTCCGGACCGACATCAAACCACCGAAGCCCACGCCTGACCGACGGCCAAATGCCAAAGT